TTCTGCACACGGCAGTCTTGAGGTTTGCACGGCTGTTGGGGTGACCCTCTGCGCACAATAAAATATTGCAAAACGGAGCAGCGTTTCAACCAACACACCCTACTCTGGCTGTGCCGCGTGTTATTCAGCCTGGTGTCCGACGTTTCACTCCACGTGCTGGGGAAACTTCTTCAGTTCCCGGACAAGCCCCCCCCCCCTCCCCCAGCATACGTGGAGAGGAACGCGGCACACAACGTGCCGAATAATACGCAGTCCAACCCAACATACGCGCGGAGAGCTTACACAGAAACTACCACGGAGACTTATCGAGTGGAATGTCAATGTGCGTTCATAACAGATGCGCCCGGAGGCAATTCACGCGTTAGCCCCAAGGACACTGAAGCAAATAGACATCAATCTCTGGCCATGACCACCATCCGTGCACTCCGACAATTAAAGCTTTCGCTGAGAGCCTGGGATTGACACTCCCCGCCCCTCTTCCCCCCACAGGCAGTGTCACCATGCGTAAGGGCCCTCGAAGAGCCTTTGAATGGACTCGCTTATTTATACCACCGCGCGGACGCTCATGGAGAAATATTGAAGTCGAGAGGCTCAAGATCTTCTTCAATTACTCACGAGGACCGTTACTTGTGGGTTTTTTTTTTCACGAGAACAAGCGCACTGGGACACGCACACACGCACGAGGCGATGGCTGTCCAATAATGAAAACGATATTTATACAAGTACGAAGCTGGTTCAATGTACGGTTAATCGTTACGTCGAGTCGCAATTTAACAGCCGCGCTGTTAACCAACGACTGAACGAAGCCTTCCCCACGCCGCTTCGGTTTTGAGGGTTGTTTGTTGACCATTGCCTCGGCGTGCTGATCGGTGCGGGTTGGTCAGGGGCAGGTCAGGCAGGGCCAGTTCAGATGTCGATTCAACTCAACTATTTTTATTTCACCAGGTAAGTCCCACTGAGCTGTGCAGATCTTCTTCAGAAGCGAGCTGGCCGCAAATGATAGCTCAACGAAGTGGCTCATCGCGTGCAAATGTATAGCAGCCAAATACTCTAAACGCAAGTTGATTGTAAATGTTTGGGGCTAAAACCGAACTACCCGGAGAAAAATCCATGCGATTACGGGGAGAACATTGCCACTGATGTTAGCCGTGGCCGGGGACGGAACGCCGGTTCACAGTACCGTGCGTTACCTTTCCCTCCTCCGATTGGATTACATTCGACCGCTGTAAATCCGAGCCGCGATTGGAAGACAACGGGTGGCGGACAACAATAGGCGACCTCTGAACCTCGTCGCTCGCGCGCACGCACGCGTCTTGAGAACGCCAATCTCGCAAGTCCAGAAGCGCGCGCCCTTGGCAGCGCGCGCCACGTGGGCGGCGCGCGCCCGTCACAAAAATCCGCTCGCTCGCTCGCCCGCCAGCCTTGGGAAGGCTGTAACGAGACACTGGTGGTGTGCTACGTGCGGTTGCGGAGCGAGATATATAAGTGTGTGTCTGTGTGTGTCTGTGTGGAAAGAGGGGGTCCCGGGAGGGCACGGAGGATAAGGACGCTCGGTCGCCAGATGGGAGACGCGGACTGCAGCCTCTAGCTCGCTGAGGTCTCCAAGCCAGGTGAGAATGTACAGACACACACACACTGGTTGGACTGCGTGTGTGTGTGTGGTCCTTTAATGTGGGGAGCGGAAGTTTAGCGGTCAGCGCGCTGCACTCCGAACCCGGCGACCCGAGTTCGATTCCCGCTCACGGCCAACACCAGTGACGATTATCTTAACCGGTCATGGGCCTCCCCTAGGTCAACCCAGCGATGTATAGACATTGCCACCGGGGAGACAAAGGCGTTCGGGCGTGGTGCTGGTGTTGGACCAGGAGACGCCAAGGACAGTGCATATTATCAGAGTTGTCTTTTTTGTTTGCATTTTGACTACTTGTGTTGTGGTTATTGCAAACATGATTCCTTGTATAAAGGTGTCAGTTTTTGTGCCAGATAAAAGGGTAAAAACCTATTACTATATCTTGTTACTGGCAAAATAGGTCTCATAATGTAGTTGAGCTATCGTTTGTGATAGCCAGGCCGCTTTAAAAAAAATGCTATTCAACTCAGTGGGCCTTGGCTGGTAAAATAAAAATAGTAGTAATAGTAGTGATGGGGGTTATTTCACCATACTTCACCACCCTGGTCAGTGCGAGTTGAACTGGGAGGTTACCAAGACCGGTTCAGATATCGCTCGCTGCTGATATTAGCCATGGTCCGGACTCAACCTCAAGTTGCTGGGCTTGCAGCGCAGTGCGTTAAACAATTCGGCCACCGCTACACCCAAGAAGATTAAATAAGATGTATTTATCTTAAAAACAATATAAGCCAAATTACGCTTCGCTCATAAACATTTACGCCCAAGACTGTTACGGTAATTGCTGATATTGAGTTTCTATTCAGGCTGGACGGTGTGGTCAGATTCACACGAGCCACACTTGGCTCCCCAAAGAGTGATATTTACCACAAGGTCCCAGGCTTTCTATTTAGGCTCAGCTGACCTTGGAGAGACCCACGCCAGGTACGGTTACCGCCAGTGCTTAATTTCAGCCTGAAGGGTCTGGAACGCTGTTTCAGGAATTACATTGGCATACTACATCCAGCCTAGCAATGTTACAGACGTTGTGAGAAATTAAACGATGTTTACTGTCAATAACAAGGAATTCAACACTAGTGATTGCGGTCCGCAGTGCAGTTCCCTAACCACAATGCAATTGCCATTATAGCACTCGCCTGGCGATTCGGAAATTTGGTGTCAATTCAGGTCTGTGGTTCAATTCAGCAATCGATGCTTTTTTTTTACATTTCAGTGACTGTTAGCGGCCATAAATTCCAGGGCTAGGTGCACTCTGATGAAGAAGCCGAACGTTCACCGACAGATATTCAGGGAGACGCGGCATTCTGGTGTGAACGGGTTCGTGGGCCTTCATGAGCACGTGGCCTGCAATCATAGACGGAACCTCCATCTGCTCGTGCACTCTTGGTTTAAAATCGTATTCTCTGGATTGTACGATGCAGTCCCTCCCCCCCCCCCGCTCCCTTGTATTTTAAAGCAAATCTTGGGGGGGCTCATATTATAATGTGTCATCCGGTCGGCGCGCACGTGAGACCATGGAGATTCGTATAACTTTACTGACAACCGCTCAAAAGTTTTGGGGTTTGTGTTTTATTTTCCCGAGAGACTTATAATCCGGAGGATACGTTATTCCCGACCAATACCACCAACCCCGCTGCCCATGTTGCTGTGAGCACTGCAGTCAAAGGCTCATCCTCAATGCCAGAAACAGAGAGCCCCCCCAGCTGTAGCGTGCCATCAGTCGATAGGCAGAGACGGTGCCTCAACATTCCTGTGCTGTGTTGTGAGCCCCGAGAGCAAATAGCAGCTTAGGGAGATGGGGTTTCTACCGAGTGCGCGCTCCTCGTACGAGTGCAACGATATTTAATCTCGGGTTCCCAATGGACAATTTGACTCATTGCTTGAGCGGTGAGTGTTGCGTGTTTTATTTATTTTAGACCCATAGCTCAATTCTTAATTATTTTGTTGTGTTGGTTTTTGTGTTACCGCCTTGGCAATGGTGACACAAACAACTGACCTTAACGCATTCATCAATGACACTGACCTCAAGGGGAAAAAAACAAACAGGCGACGTTTCGAGCAATGCCCCTCCTTTAAAGCAGCAGAAGGGCAACTACCAGAAACGTCATTTTATAACATATTTTGGAGTTATATGTATCATTAACTATTACAAAATATGTTGCATTCAGGATTATTGATCTGTATTTCATGTCCAAATACTGCATGATGCTGGTGTGACCCCCTACATCACACTTGTACCACGATTCATCGCTTTTGTGAACCCGGTCTCCCTTGAACACGAAACGTTTCCTGTCAGCCGGCTCCGACCTGGTCTCAGAACATTTTTATTAATAATGATTACGTGCTTACAGACACAAGACAAAGATCTCCCGTGTAGCCTTAACAGACTGTTGGGGGCAAGTGCCGTTAGCGAGCAGCACCTGTGAAGGCCGGCACGACACACGAGGCGGTATGTGAACAGCACCACGCCCGGTCGCCTTTGTCTCCCCCCCCCCCAACGTTGATGTTTACCCACTTGCACCAGGTATTAATTTAAGGCTGAATCGACCTTAAGGACGCCCAGAACCGCTTCACACATCCGTCGCCGATGTCAGCCACGCAAGTCCGTAGCCATGGAGTCAACATTGGGGGGGACCAAATCTTCCAGGGGGTCTGGGCCCCCCCCCCCAGAAAAAATATAAATTTGAAAACTAATTACGGGCCTAAAATGTTAAAAAATTCACTAACACATGGGATGGAATTTTTATTTATTTTTTACAATAATGTCTAATATTGTATTACATTGCTCTGTTTTTTTTCTTTTTTACTTTTCTTGTTTCATTGTATGTAATTGCAAAGATTAGGGATTAATAAAGTACAACCATAACCACAAATCTATTTCGATTTAAAGCTTTCGTGACTGCAAGGATTCATCTTCTTTGTTTTTTTCGGTAAAGTCACGTAGAATGAGAATACAATAATAAATTGATAAAATAAAATAACACAATAAAATTATCACGACGTTTCGGCCACAACACAAGCGGCCTTCATCAGGTGAAGCGCTGTCTTCCAGACAGTCTCGTCCCTTCACCTGATGAAGGCCGCTTGTGTTGTGGCCGAAACGTCGTGAGAATTTTATTGCGTTATTTTATTTTATCAATTTATTATTTTATTCTCATTCTACGTTTTTATAGCGATTTATTGGGGGGGGGACATTTTGAGCGTTGGGGGGGGGATGAGTTCCCCCCCCCCCCCCAATATATTATAATTACGGCCTTGCAACCACGAGCAGGAATCGAATCGAAGTCGGTTCGCCGGGTTCGTACCCACGAGTATCGCGCTAATCGCTGCGCCACCGCTCCCCCGCACGTTTACGCGCGCACACGCAGGGGAGGAGAGGGAGGTCGGGCATGGCGGGGCCGCAGCAGCAGCAGCAACAGCCGTGGGCGTCGTCGGCTCCCGGCAAGGGCGGCTCGGGCGGGGGTCCGGTGCTGCGCGCCGTGGAGTCCATCAGCGACCTCTACCGGACGCCCTCCTTCTTCTTACAGCGAGCCAAGGCGGCACGCGCGCGTAAGCACGAAAAATCCACGGGACCACGGCGACAGAGACACCACAAACTCCAAAAAAACACAGCAGGCGTCAGGGTGGGGGTCGAACCCACGACGTCCTGTATACCAGGCGAGGTAGTTAACATCTCCTAGCCACCGTGGCACTCCCGGTATTTGTTATCTCACAAGGATTCTATGAATGGGAAGAGGGAGCCCCGCAAAGCGTTTCTGCTCGGAGCTGTCGACGGGCGAGCGCCATCACTGGACTGCAATTTTCAGACGTGGTTAAATTTGGACTTGAAACTTTCGTGACTGCAGGAATTAATATTCTTCGGTTCTTTCGGTAAAGTCACGTAGATAGAACATAAAATTAAAAAAAATAAAACAAAAAAACTAACGACGTTTCGATCGCAACGCAAGCAGTCGTAATCAGGTGACCGCTTTGCGTTGCGATCGAAACGTCGTGAATTTTATTTCTATCCACGTGACTTCACCGAAAGAACCAACGAAGATGGAGCGTGGTGTTTCGGATCTGGGAGAGGTGCAATCGGGGAAGTGTTTGTGGACTGGCACCGAGATATCTACGAGGTACAGCAGAAGGAAGGCAGCGCCGCGAAACGTCGTACGTCCGCAGAGACCTCTTGAGACTTGACACAATACCATCAGCTACGAACACCGCCTTATGACGGACACATTTAACGCGGCAGGCCTGGCGGTCCTTAAGAGCGGCGGGGGAGATGAGGGCGGGAAGATTGACCGAGTTTAATCTCCGAGCCCCCGCTCTGCTCTGAGTGAGAGTTATTGCCCATTATTATTGGATTCCATCGACTATCTTCTACGTTGACGGGGTTCTTCTACTCCGGTCTGTGTGCGCGTGGCTTTTCCGTAATTCCATTGAGCGGTGTTGTCTTAAATTCGTTGATTGTGTTTTGTTTGTTGCGCCTCTCTAACATTCTCGCCTCCCTCTCAGTGCTTTGTATTTCTCATCGGCATTGGTGACGCGACCTTAAGGTGCTGCTGCTGAATCTGAGCGCCCGAAAGATGCAAATGCTTACCCGATAATTACGTTACACGACAGTGCTACTAATAATAATGGTGACCCGCGGACCAAATCGCCTGCAGCGTGCCGTTTAATCGTCAGATCTCAGAAGCTAAGCAGGTTTGAGCATGGATCGTGGAGAGTGGCAGAAGAAACTGCAGCAATCACATTGCTGCATTCTCTGCGCGCATTACTTAAACAAACATGCGCTTACCAGCGTGGTGAAGTATGGTCAAATAGCCCCTATGAACCCACAGTGTGGAGAGGCCCTCATCCAGCAGCGGATTGACAAAAAATGTTGTAAATGTTCTTGCGTGCCACTGTCAATTTGCATCATCGTCATCACCGGCCATGCTATATCCACTGCTGGATGAAGACCTCCCCAAGCCATGACCTACCCCCATGCTCTCACAATGCAACACAGGAATCCCACTCCTGCATACGAGTATCTCATCGCTCCATCTCCGCTGTGGCTGTTATACCCTTTATCATGTTTCTTTGTTGAATATATATTAATTCCTGGCTTTACTCGAAAGTAGAGGCATATGGGTTAATAATTGAATGTAGCCAGTGGCCAATTCCGGATTGCTTTCGCGAGGCAGAAGGGATGCGCTGAGGGTGGAATATTTCAGAGCACAGATCCTCACGGATTCGACTTTTCACAGTTTCCAGTCTGTTTCATTCAAGACGAAATTTAAAAAAATCCGTGCAAATGAGAAAATAAAGGGGCGATTTACTTTGCTGATTATTTTTTTATATAAAACTGAACGCTGCCGGCAGCAACCAAAATAAACGTTCACATTGAATCCTGCGGCAAGAGTAAAGCGGTACAGGGGTGGCAAAGGTAGTCAAGGATAACGTTTTTCGTTATTACAAAACGACACACACTAACTTCACACGGGGGGGGGGGGAGCACGTCAAGACGCACGTTTGGCTTAACTCCACGTGACGCGAGTATCAGAAGGACCAAACGGGAACTTTCTAAACCCTGGTGGATGGTCATTTACAGCCTCAAACACCTGTAAATCCACAGATGCATGAAGGGCCCCTCACGCCGTGTCGGTCGTCAGTGGGAGGGGGTGGGGCTGTTTGCCCATACTTTACCACGCTGGTCAGGACGAGCTCGTAACGATGAAAACCAAGGAAGAAAAATCATGCATACGCTTGGAATGTGTAGCTCTTTCCAATGTGCGATTGTCCTCCTCGAAAGTACGTAATTCGCTTAACGCGTAGGCTTTCGCGACCAATTTTATTCTTAATAAAAGTTTTTTTTTACTAGATCGCGTAAGTATAAATGTGTCGTAACCCTCCACCACCCGACACAGCCAGTAAGGTTTCGTCACGTAAACAAAAACGCTCCACTTAGTTTACTACTTCAGCCCACCGGTGTGTTGGAGAGGCAATTGTAAATGTTGTGGATTTCATCTCCAGCACACCGGTGGGCCGAAGTAGTAAACTAATTGCCCATCGAAGATGCACGACGAGACGACGTGGCAGCTAATGGCAACATGGGCAAGGCGAGACCTGCATGGCATGCGGCGTCATCGCCTTAACCAGATAACCACACACATTTAGCGCTGGTTTTTATCGGCACATTTTTTTGTGCCAACCCTGTGATCAAGACGACCAGGGTTTCTTAGGGGTAACTACCGAACAGCAACGCATCTTTACGCACGATGACATCGATTTTATATTCGATTATCATTATGACACTTAACCAGCACCAAACGTTGAGAGAGGAGACGGACTGAGCGTTTGACCCGAGTCGGGGTTCGTTCGTCAAAACAAAAAACGGTGGTAAATTTCTTAATTCCGTCAACTGCATTTCCCCGTGCGCGCTCATCAAACCCCAACTCAAATGTGGGTAAAGTGACGACCGAGACACCCTCTCGCGTCGTGTTGTGATTGCTTGCACTGCAGGCGGGAACAGCATCGCCGATGCCACCGTCGGCACCGACTCCTCCACGGCGAAACCTCCGCCTAGAGTGGGGGGCTCCGCGCAGTGGACGGCGGCGGCCCCCCTCTTCAACGACGATGACGACTGGGACCCAGCGTGGAAGGAACTTCCGCTTCCACCACTCACGCCGCCACCGCCGTCGCAACCGCCGCGTTCCCTCGAGGAATCCGGCTCTGTCCAGCGCCCAGCCTCGTGCTGCCCCTGCAGCCTCAGGCTTCTCGTCCACCTGCTGCTCTTGGTGTCTCTCCTGAGCCTCGGCGTGGCTGCGTGCGCCCTCTACTGGGCTGGTAAGGAGGAGCCGCTGCCTCCATCCCACTCGCCGCTCGTCTCTCGCTGCCGCCACACGCCTCCTGCGGATTGTTTGGTGACGCTGCTGTTGCTGCTTCATCTTCTTCTACTGCTTCGTCTCCTGCTGCTGCTTCTTCTGTTGCTGCTTCTTCTGTTACTGCTTCTTTTACTGCTGCCTTGGCAGTGGTGCACTATCACAATTAACAACAAACTCAACACACACTCTTCAAATAACACCGTGGCCTTAAAAGAAGAATATATAATAGGCTACGTTTCGGCCGATGGCCCTTTTTAATGGCACACAAATGTGCTATTGACGATGTATGTACAGTACATAAACGTGCCATGAAGAAGGCCCATTGCCTGGAACGTCGCCTATGATATCCTTTTGATTGTAAGACCACTGTGTTTGAGGAATGTGTTAAGTTTGCTCCTCGTTATGCAGGATGTTTGATGCATCATCTATAGATATCCACAGTAAAATAACAGGGATTCGTTGTAGAATAAAACAGCATTTTGTGTTTCAAAGCCTCTGCATGCCTCCCACTAACAGTGGCGGTGCGAGCCCATCGGAGACCCTAAGCATAACATAGTTTGGCCGCATCAAATAACTACACACCTTTCGTGTTGCCCAAGCTACGTAGCTCAATTATAATAGCTATGTGAAACGATGAATGTCAGACTTGTTACAATGAGTTTAATTGTGTTATTAGGGTTATAGTATTTAGTTTTATTGTTTTTATAAGGATCTCGGTATGATTGTGTATACTGCTATTTTATCACGAATCTGAGGTCCCTTTGGCTATTTGGGACCCGATGCCATTGCTTGGGTTTGCTTTATGCCTGGCTCTGCCACTGCTCACCCATCTCAATAATGCACAGGACACGTATTCAATCTTGAAACACACTCCTGTCATGCACTCCGTCCAACAAAGCAGTATTGATGTTGCTAGTGCCACCCAGAGAGAGACATTCCAGGAGCTGGAAACATAAACGTACAGTACAACAATTGATATTCCTGCACTGCCTCTCTGTAGTCCACGCCGTAGCTAGCACCCCGCCGCAGCCTATAACACCTGTTATGCATGGTGGCCACACATCCCAGGTTCTGTGCAATTTAGATTGCCTCTTAGCTCTGCTAAATAAAAGAAAAAATCGTTATCACGAAAAGAAATGTGATATATTGTTTTACTAACTTTTGCTCCAAATTAGACATGAGTACGTGATATGCAATCAATCTGTACACTTTAGCAAGCCATGTGTGTGTGTTTTTATATAGCATGGCGCGTTCGTGCCAAAGCTGGCTGTTTTGAATAACACTACAGTAGTAGACTTATTTATACCATAGCTTATGAAAGCTGAATGAAGTTCACAGTTCATCTTGAGAACAACTTCTACCTGTGTCGCTTCTGCTGCTGCTGCTGCTGTGGCCACTGCAGTGATGGCCCACAATGAGACTCGGGGCCTACGTGGGACCATGGAGGCGCGGGCGATGGAGGCGGAGCGGCTGGGGGCCCAGGACCCCTCCTACGCCGCCGAAGGCCTCCACCTCCCGGGCCATCCGCGTGGCCTCCGGGCCCCGGCCGGCGGCGTCTGGTGACCACCCCACGGTGGCCGCCCGGTGTCCGTCCGTCGTCATCACCCGCCGGGATCGCCACGACGCAGGGCAACGTGCAATGCGACGTAGATTCGTGGTAGCGTCTACGGCAAGCGTTCATCATTGCGTGGCCCGTCGGCCACTGGCGGCCCCTGATGGCCTTCAGTGCGGCCCCTGACACGCGCCCCCCCCCCCCCCGACAATACACAAAGAGTGAAAATAACACCCATCATCATCGTCGTGCCGCTGTCAAACCCAACATTGGTGTCAAACGTGTGGCGGACCTCACACTGACGATGTCTTATCGGCGAAAGTCGCCCCCCTCTGAAAGTCAGTGAAAAACACTGGACTAAGATGCTACCCCCCCCCCCCCACCCCACCTCAACGAAGCCGTCTACGAGCAGTGGAGGGTTCATTTTGTATAGGCGGCAACAAGCACCTCCCGCGCTATCTGTGCTTCTGGAAATAAACTACACGTACGAATATTGAACCTCTTTCGCATCGTACGTAGCCAACCGTGCTCATCGGAAGTGCTGGGGAAGGACAACTAAAACACAAAAAGCAACTCTGATTAAGTAATTTTTCGATCTCGATTTAAAAGTGCATCGCTCCAGTGGCTTCCTAATATCGGAAGGAAAAGCGTTCCAGACGGCCGCAGAAGCGCACCTGAAAACGCGCGATGCGGTGACCGCCGTCATTGTTCAACCGTTAGCCAAAAGCGGCTGCCGCGAGGATGACCGGAGTTTGCGTGGTGGTGGTGGTTTATGCTGCTTGACGAGATCAGCAGCTGCAAAGGATTACCCGCTACTGGCCACTCAGGAGCTTGAAGCTGGACCGAGGCTCTAGCAAAGCCTAGAATATCCAGCACCCCGGAAACAGGGCTGCCACAAGTGAGGTACAGCAATCCTGGGCCATGCAGTGGGAAGGAGAATGTCTCGCAATACCGTAAGAGGGGAGTGCTACGTGTGAATGCATCGTCTCGAGTAGTGTATTATTATTGTTGCGTAACTGACAAAAACGGAACTCTGAAATGTTCTCGCAGATTTCAAAGGACAGCTCAAAGAGATGACGATCCTGGGAAAACCAGGACAGGTCACAACCTGTATGACAAAGGCAGCACCTGTGCACTCGTCAGGAGCCCCCAGATTGTTTATACATTCGGGCCCAGGTTGCCCTCCTGCTGGGGTTGAGCAGTCCAACAGTGGATAGACGCTGTGCTTTTATACCAGAGCTTTGGGTGAATAATATTTCACACCGGTGTATGTTAAACCTGCTCCCGACACATTTACCACAAACGTGGGCATTGAAAAATAAAAAGTGAAAGAGTGCACAAATAATCGTGGAGGGGTGGATGCTTTGAATGACACTCAGAGACAGAAGGAATAACACCTGGATCAGAGAAGACACGCGTGCCAAAGACATCAACGTAACGGTTTAGAAGACGTGATTGGGCTTAGGCAGCACATGTGTTCCTTGGTTGTGACGATGGCCAGGTGTTCGAGACTAGCCATGGAGTGGCAGCTAAGGGGAGGATGCCCACCGCAGAGATGAAGCGACGAGATTAACATCTGACAGTGGCATTGGTTCGCGTAAGCCTGACTCTGCTGATGAGATGATGTACGTTCGAAGCCGGTCCCAGAGTGCTGCTTGTGTAAAGACGACTTTACACACTTCTCCCCGTGCATCTGCCTTATATACGGAGCGAGACCACGCCCCCATTCCCGAACCTTCTCGCTGACTCTGGATGCTCGCTCCATCGGCAGACTACACCGCCCTCTTCCGTCACCATACCACGCTCCTTTCTCGATCATTCCCGTAGCCACCAGTCCCTTCGTACTCACAGCTGACTCCCCTGTCATTACCTCCCGTGGCCACTAGTCCATTCGCACTGTAGGCTGACTCCCCTGTCATTACCTCCCGTGGCCACTAGTCCACTCGCACTGCAGGCTGACTTCCCTGTCATTACCTCCCATGGCCACCAGTCCATTCGCACTGTAGGCTGACTCCCCTGTCATTACCTCCCATGGCCACCAGTCCATTCGCACTGTAGGCTGACTCCCCTGTCATTACCTCCCGTGGCCACTAGTCCATTTGCACTGCAGACTGACTCCCCTGTCATTACCTCCCGTGGCCACTAGTCCATTCGCACTGCAGGCTGACTCCCCTGTCATTACCTCCCGTGGCCACTCGTCCATTCACACCGCGGGTAGACTCGACTGTCATTACACTTGTACTGAATCAACGCTGCTGAGATTGTTCACCCCCAGAAGGCCGCGGGGGCCGATGGGTTTTATGAGGAATCCTTTTTATTTTTGTTCAGGCAGAGAGACGTGAAATCGAATTACATTAATTTCTTACCTTCACTTGACGCATGCATATTAGCGTGAGCCTGACGATCGTATACATCGACCAATCATGCGTCGATACTCACAGAACTGGAGTGTGCAGAAACAATCAAAATTATTCAGAAATGAAGTCGTCAAAGATAAAAGCATTTATTTAATTAATTTGCGTGACAAAATATTCGCCCAATTACACATGACACAATAACTTACAATCATTCATATTAACCAAGAAACCGTTCCGGACACTTACAGGGCGATCCATTTATAGATACCCCAATGCGTGATCCTCTTGATTTTAGTCTCAATAGGTGACTGAATGCTTTGAATTCGATGGCCATGTCAAGACAAAGTGCCTCAAGAAAGTGTTAAAAGATGTATTAAGTACTAAGGTTGGTGGGAGACGTGTAAAGGTTTAGAATTGAAAGTTGGATTTCTATGTCTCCCAGTAATTGTAGTTGGGTATCTATAAACGGATCGCCCTGTACCGTCAACAAACGAATTAAGTGTTGTTGTGAAGCATTGTGGGTAAAAGCCTATAACAAGCAGAATTCAGTGTTACGTCTCAACATATAAACTCAAGATTGTATAATCCATCGGCATATTGGCTTTCAAGACCAATATTATCCAGTTAAAGCGAGGAAACTGTGGACCGTGTCGTTTCAACCTCGGGGGGTCTCTTCAGCGGAGTTGAGCCCTCGTCAAATAAATGTTGTCGAGTTGCCAGGCGTCATTGGCAAGAGCATTCCCTCGAAACGACGGGACCCTGTTCGACCCAAACACCGAAGAAATAGTCCGTAGCAACTCATCGCGAGCATAACCGTGGGGCATTATAAGCGATATGTTTCGTGAACGGGGCGTCTGATCTGTGCCTCCGCGTGTGTTTGTGTGGAGACACAGAGATCAGACGTGGAGACACACCGTGGACGTCTGATCTCGCACAAGTCGATGCGCCCAGATGGAATACATCACGTAGTATATTTTTTTGTTTGCATTCTGACCACAAGCATTGTGGTTAATGCAGACATGATTCCTTGTAAAAGGTTTAAGTTTGGTGTTTTAACATCTTAACACCTGTTATTGGTTCTTTCGGTAAAGTCACGTAGAAGGGAAGCAATAAAATAATAAAATATTGTTTTATATTTTTATTATTTTCATTGTTTCCCTTCTACGTGACTTTACCGAAAGAACCAAGAATATGAATCCCTGCAGTCACGAAAACTTTAAATCAAAATATTAACACAGCTGTTTTGTTGCCAGAAAAAAGAGGGAAAACTTATTATAATATATCACTCGTTGATTACCATCTGAACACGACACGGCCAGAGTTGGAGCAACGTCTATAGGGCACCAAACAACAGCGAATTATGCGACAGCCTTCTTCACGTGATCTCGTCATAAGTGCTGTTATGTTACCACGTGATCCACGTAACTGTTAACGCATTCTTATTTTAGCAGGCAAGGCTCTACTGAGCTATATAGATCGTTTTCAGAAGCGACCTGGCCACAAATGATAGCTTAACGAAGTAGCGGCTTATCACATGGAAATGTATAGCAGCCAAGTACTCGTGGAGTCCATCAGCGACCTCTACCGGACGCCCTCCTTCTTCTTACAGCGAGCCAAGGCGGCACGCGCGCGTAAGCACGAAAAATCCACGCGACCACGGGGAGGGAGACACCGCAAACTCCAAATATTCAGCAGGCGTCACGTTCCAGATCGAACCCACGACCGCCTGTATAGCAGGCGAGGCAGTTAACGTCTCGCCATTACGGCACCCACTTGTAGCAGCCATGTACATAAAATTGTATCGCTCAATATTTGCACACCACTCGTGCTACCGAACTCTGCTGCTGTGACTCATGGTGGGGGGGGGGGGGGGCAGGGGAACTTGCTCTCCGTTATCTTTGCAGTGGCGAGTGGAACGCTCTCTTGCTCAGGGGGGGGATTGGCGTGGTGAGGATGTCACGGGGCAGATTCCCGCGCGCTTAAAAATAAACGGGCAGCAGTGACGGACGCAGCCCGGCCTGGCGCCTGCGTAGCGGCAGCACAAATACATTCAGCCGGGCAAACACCGCGCGCTTTGCCACCGCTGCTGCTCCTCCTGCTGCTCCTCCTGCTGCTCCTACTGCCCCTGCTGCTGGCAACGCTAACGCGGGACCGTCGCGAGAGGCTTGCGTGTACGTGGTGCAACCCTGCCAATTGGGGGGATAGGGGGGGACGCTTATAGCAACTTGCCCTTTACTCAAAAAACCCACAGGCACAGCGGATCGCTCCCAGATGCCGGCACCAAGATCGGGTCTCGGCATCCGGCCGTTTGTCGTGACCGGCCAAAGAAGTTGCCCTGCAAAGTCTACAGACAACCTCACACACACAACTCCCATAGATTTGTGATGCTATTTCGGACCGAAAGGAATACGCAGGGACACAACACACACAGTGCTTATTTAATATGACGTTGCGTTAAAGGGCTTTGTGTAAGACACAAACACCCAGGGGTTTGTGTACTGGCCGTTTGATCCGCACAAAACTGAAAGCTTCATCAGTTACATTAGCCCGAATATAGGAAAGAATTTCGCATTAAATTATTCCTAGACCATCTCTTTTGCCCTTCTCGACCATCAAATAAAAAGAAAACAATACTGACCAGAACAAATATGGCAAATAACAATAGCGTAAACGTCTCTCGTATTGCTCTTGTGCTGCCCTACCGGCGCGTGATTGTATGTTTAGGATAACCATGATATGACGACAATACGATGCATCGTACGATAAAACAGCCGTACGTCCGTACCTTGAACTTCTTTCGCACAATACGTAGCCAACCGTGCTCATCGGAGGTGCGGAGAGCCATGATTATCGTATCATCGATTTTTTTTTCCAATATCGTTATATCGAAATTTATCATTGCTCATGTTACCTTTCTGAAATATTTAATTTCTTGACCAAAAAAACCCCAACAACTACGAAATGGCAAACTCATCGTTAACTTGCAAATGGATGAGCTGTTATCTATTAAACTAGTGCAATGCTAAATATTATTTAGAGCAATTGACGGCGTGGGATTTATATGGCAATTTAATATTTCGTTTATTTTACGTGTTTATTCATGATAAGCATTCCAGATCGTAAAGTTCGCAATGGTTATACGACTCGTGGCTGGCTCACGTTGTAGTGAACTGCAACGGAATAACTTTTAAGTAAAAGTTTTATCCACACGAGTCAAAAAACGAAGCGCAAAAAAACCCCGTAAAATGACATCACGGTAACCGCCACATCGCGAAATTTCATAGGGCCCGTCCATAAATGACGTCACGCACCTAGGGGGGGGGGTCAAACATTTGTGACGATGTATGACGAGGGGGGGGGGGGGTTGAGAAATATGACGTCACATCAAAATGCGCAACTTTAAATAAATATAGACAACACGTTCTACTTAATTAAATAGACGTTTTAATAAATGTTTTCTCCTACAACATCAGAGTGCAGCTCCACATTAAATACGCACTGCAATGACAATAGTTTAAAGCGATTTGAAGCATGTTTTATTTGGGGGGGGGGGGCAGAGCTTCGTGACGTCATATTTGAGGGGGGGTCTGACTTTTTGTGGCGCCGTGTGACGAAGGGGGGGCAAAAATCGTCCAAAATCGCGTGACGTCATTTATGGACGGCCCCATATCGCATCGTGAAAATGTATATAATGGTAACCTTATCTATCAAGCATTGCTGCTCCGGTGCTGATGTTTACTGAGCTACACACAACTCCTATGCTGATCACTCACCAATGCGTTTTGACTCAACTGGCCAGACGGCGACAGGGAAAAGGCAGACAATGCATACTGAAGTCTACAACTATAAATAACTTTGTGTTAAACGTACTGTGAAACGATGGCGTATTCTACTCGACTAAATGAAGATGTGTTGTTGACACTTCTGGTACACAACCAGACATCTCAAATGATCCTCCCTGGCATGCCTTCAGTTCGCCACACGTCCAACACAAGTGAAACGTTTGACTCGAGAAAGCGAAGCAATTGTTTCGTCGTAACATTTAAGTCGGTTAACTCCACGCGTCCTAATACAGATTCAGTTTTAATTTCTTGAAGGTCAAAGGTCTTTCTGAAGGTTATTCTGACCACTGAAGGTCATTCCGGCTCCAGTTAGAACACATGTTGTTTTATTTTTTACCTACGTGACTTTACCGAATAGAACCAAAAAGTATGGATCCTTGCAGTCACGAAAGCTTCAAATCTAGAATAGAACACGTTTGTCAATACAGGATAATGGTCTCCCCCAGGTGTAAGTAATGTCATCTGGTTTGCAACACAAATGCATATTTTCATACATTCAATGAATACAAATGTTCAATCCTGAAGTTTATGTTTGTCGGAAATGGCTTTAGTTTGCTTAGATGGCATTGTTAGTGTACCTAGTTAATTTCCACGATTGTGGGAGTGAAGCAGAACGTTCAGCATGTGTTACCGGTGGGCAGTGTTAGAGGGGATGGGCTAGGCTCTACAGAGATACAGCATTACCCGAAGAGACGGCATGAGTCCACACGGGACGATTTATAATGCGAAGCTCGCCGGTCGACCTTCAATTGTTGCAAAACGTTTAGAAATGCTTACATATAATTGTTTTTAATAGATGGACTACCAAGGTATGAACTAAATGAAGAACGTCGAGTTGACGGGTAGAGGTAGGAAAGCATGAGCTTTCAAACACTTGTTTGAGTTACGACGCATTTAAATTAAGGCATATTTCAAATATTCAATATAACTTCTCGCGAAAGATATATTACTCTAAAAGCCCCGGAAGGACTTCGCGACCAGCCGGTATTCACAAACAGAAGCTCACACACACACGCGCGCGCGCGCACACGAGCAAACTCGCCTAGTGGCTGAGCATCTCGAAGACGCCGTAGCAGTACAGGAAAGCGATGGCGAGCGCGTACGCAGCGCAGCATTCCATCACCCCGAAGCGAGTGAGCGACGCCAGGAAGACGAGCAGCAGGAGGGCGTGGAGCGTCTTGAAGAGCCCCTCCATCAGGTCGTCAGCAGAGCCCCGCCGGGCCGGCTGCGCTATCGCGGAGAGGCCGTTCGCGGAGGCGCCTCCACGGTCGCCTCTCGGCTCGTGGTTGGGGTCGCCGCCTCCGCCGCCGTCGCCGATGGCCGCTCCGACGCGGCCGCGGAGGTCCCCGGCGTCCGCGGCGTGCTCGTGGCGATCTTCGTTGGAAGCGTTGGAAGACCTCGGGCTGCAGCCGTTGGGTTCGGGCGCGCTGACGAGCGCCTGCGTGTGCGTGTGTTCGTGCGCGTGCGTGCGTTTGCACGAGGAGTTCCGAGGACAAAAGCACGTGAACCGTCAGGCCAAGGGGCAACGCGATTTAGCAACCGATCAACTTTCGATCATTCGTGGTAATGGTCAAGGAAACGTACAGAGATGAAACTGTGAAACCAACCATATTTATTAGGTACCTATGCCGAATTTGGGAAAAACGTAGAATGCGCCGTCTGTTTATTTTTGCATTGTGTTTGAGGTCACATGGGCACTGACGCCGACCCTCAACGAGTGATGAGCAGCCACTAAAATAATCGGCTTGTGCGTAAAACGAGATAAATGTTTGTCGCACGAACGTCAAATAGATATTCGAAGTCTCAGATTGTGGAATTCTAGCCATATTAAATGCGGAACCAAATTGAATGTAATCGATACTTGAGAACCCAATTTAATTACAGGCGGCTGAAAGTTGGATTCAATGCCAGGATCTTGGCGATGTCAGCAAAAGTGTGCTCACACAGATCAGGGAGGCCGGATTCCCATCATGCCTTGTGTGCACGTCATGTGACCACCACATTGCATGCACAATGTCCTCAGCCTTGCCAAGACCACCAGCTATAAATAGGGATGAGCGTGTGGCCGTATCTTTGTTGAGGTCACAAATTCACAAAGAGTTGAAGATTCCAGCTCAGTTGTTTGAGCTCTGACAAAACCCGGCCACCCCCATAGTTGCAGATGTGAAGGCACAGAGGTGATTTAGTTATTGGCTCTGCATTGCTACCGCGCATTTAGTGATATTGATGACACCACTGAGTCCACATGTGGCGCTAAGAAGTGAGTTTATTTATTTCAAGTCTGTCAATATGCTTTATTTAACCAAGATATTAAATTATTATAACCAAGAGATTTAACCAAGAGATTTAACCAAGAGATTAAATAAAAACCAACGAGACACGTGAAACGTAGCCTTTTGTGCATAAAGGTCTGCATGTGCTCAGCCAATGAAAGTTGCAAATGCTGCAATAATGTTCAGACTTGAGCGGGTGCCGAACGTGTTTCCAAATCCATTGAAAAATCTGAAACTGCAGTCCTAAAAATGTTGCCTATTTACCTTGCCGCGGTGCGTAATTGAAAAGGTGTGTGCGAGATATTCGCTGGGCGTACGTATTACAATCGTTCCCAGGTAAGATTTTTTTTACGGCTCGTTTTATGGAGCTTGCATCAATATATTAAATGTCCTCCACCAATTGCTTCGTTTCCAGTGTACACACGTGGAATCCAAGTATTGCAGTTAAAACATGAAAGTGAATATATTTGAAATGTCAAGCACCAAATGCACATTGTTCCAAATCCATGAAATCATCAGTGAGTCTCAATGCATTGGGATGTGATCAATCGACTTATTTTTTTACGTGATTATAATTTTAGTGTTTTGCATAACATCCAACAGGTTGACCATCATCATCACCAACATGATTATCAGCTCGCAGTTGTTTATTTTAATGTACAGGCAGTGGCCGAGCCGTCCTTTAAAAAAACAGCTTCTTAGCTCAATGCGGTAATATAAACTTCGGATTTTATGGTGGACATGGGTGGTGGGGAGGGGGGTGGTGGAGGCGAGGGGGGCCTCCCTCCCCACGTGACCCCCCCCCAGCCCCCCACTATTATTCAGAGTCAACTAATCGAGGAGACTCGGGGAGGCACTCGAATTCAAATCCCAGAGGTCGTCACGTCCCAATGCCGCGAGTGACACCACATCCCCGGCCGCCATCGCTTCCTTCATCACGAACACAGATCGCCGCAGCTGCTGTGCCTACGACATCCCTGACCCCCAAATGGATGCTTTTACAGCCTCCCGCGCGTATGGAGTTTTACAATGCGGGTGTGGATTTCAGTGTAAGCCCACCCCAAAACCTGGGCGTTGCCTGCGAGCTCTGATCGCCACTGTGCGCAAGGCATATGTCCAACTCGTTGTTGTCAATAAACTAAAAACTAAACTAAATATTTTGTTATTTTACCAGGTAAGGCCCACTGAGCTGTATTGCAAATTATAGCTCAACGAAGTGGCTCATCGTCGTGTAGAAATTCTAGCGCGTTGTTTATAAATGTAAAGGGGAAACCCGGAGGTCCCGGAGAAAAATCCACGCGGCCATGGGGAGAGAGACATGCAAAGTCCAAATACACAGCAGGCGTCAGGGTCGGGATCTAACCCACAACCTCCTGTATACCAGGCGAGGTAGTTAACATATCCTAGTCACAGTGGCGCCCTCAAGGGTTGGTGGATCAGATCGAGACTTTTCAAACTCCAATCTCAAACCCCATCGGGCTACGAGGTAGTCACGGGGTGGCGGTTACAGCGATTGTGTGCGTCCGTGAAGCCTTCTGCGAACAGCTGGAGTCCCCTGTGAGTGTTATCCCCTCGTGTAAATGCTGGGTGCTTTTGATACGGTACAGTACTGTAGTATATCGTATACGAAACAATGACTTGGTCATTGGCCAAGCGTACCATATCAGAACCCCTCCTGATTAAAACTAACCTCGAGACTCAGGGTTTTGGCCCGATAAGTAACGTGATCCACAGTGTGGTCCAGATGTCTTGTGACTCCCCATTTAGTTCTCTAAAATGTCTCTATTTTTAAAGTAAGATTTGTTTAACGCAGAAATGAATATGCAGCGGAAAGAACTGTTCGGGGGTAAATTAATTGGGGGTCACAGGATATCTGGACCACCACAAGCAAAGACAAAGATCCCCCTGTAGGCTGTACAGACTATTGGGGCAAGTGCTGTTGGCGAGCACCTATGAAGGCCGGCAACCCACCTCCACTAAGGGAGACAAAGGCGGCCGGGCGTGGTGCTAGCCACCCACCCCCTCGTGGCGATGTTTACACACCGCACCAGGTACTCATTTGAGGCTGAATCGACCTAGGGGAGGAGGCTCAGGACCGATTCGGATAATCGCCACCGATGTTGCCCGTGACCGGCAATCGAACTCGGGTCGCCGGGTTCGTAGCGCATCGTGGCGCACTAACCTAATGGTTGGTGTACCCAGCACCGCGCGACGCAACGCAACGTAACGCAACGTTACGCAACGTAACGCAGCGTAACGTAAGGCAAGGTAACGCAACGTAACGTAAGGCAAGGTAACGCAACGTAACGTAAGGCAACGTAACGCAGCGTAACATAAGGCAACGTAACCCAACGTAACGCAACGTAACGTAAGGCAACGTAACGCAACGTAACGCAGCGTAACGCAACGTAAAGCAACATAACGCAACGTAACGCAACGTAACTCAGCGTAACGCAACGCGACACACGCGCCTCTGCGTGCCGCTCGACAGGAACCCACCTTGACGCGGGCGGCTCGCATCTCCACGCCCGCCTTGACGCACGTGAACCTGTAATTAGCGCAGCCGTTGTTATCCCAGAAGACGCCGTCGGGAGACGCGTAGCGAACGACCATCTCCACGGCGTCTCCCTCCTCCAGGGGCTCGTCCCCTCCGGGCCTCGCGAAGCTGCGGAAGACGAACTGCTCCGTCTCGCCGTCGAAGGTGTTGTCGACGGCGGTCGCCTGCACCTCCCAGTGGCTCCTCCACACGTCTCGGGACCAGCGCAGGTGCACGCGCTTGTCCCGCGACGAGCCGTGCACGCGCACGGTGCCGAGAACGGCGCCCGCCGAGGACACCGCGAAGTCCTCCAGAGCCACCTTCTGCTTGCGCACCACGTCCAGCAGCTCCGACGTGGAGCCGGCGAGCGCGAAGTCGGGTCTCGGGGCCACGGAGGACGCGGGTCGAGAGTGGCCGCAGCCCTCCCCGCGGTCGTCTGCGCCTGCTCCACCGACGTCGCCTTTCTCCATGGAGTCCCCGCGGGAGAGGCGAAAGCCCGCCGCGTCGGCGAACAGAACTCGGCGTCGGGGTGTCGCGGTCGACTCAGCCCCGGGGCTGTTGTCTTGCTGCTGCTGCTGTTGCTGCTCTTCTTCTTCTTGCTCCTGCTGCTGCTGCTGCTTCTGTTCAGAGCCGCGCGTGCGTTTCAGCACCGGCGACAGTCGGGACACCTTGAAGCCGACCGGACGAGTCGCGTGTTCGGAATCAGCGGATGCCTCCTGCTGGCCAAACGCAAATTCTTCCTCGGCCATTTCGGACATTATATATGGGATTGCCGTGGTGTGTGTGGTGTGTTTATTTAAACCCACTCACTCGCTCACGCAGAGCGGCGGCTAAAAACCCGCTGCTTATGCTACACAAAGTGTGTAGCCACTGCGTGCAGGCTAAACAACTTGCGCTGCGTGTGTAAGACGCGTGTGGCGTTAAATGGATAAAAATCTGCAGAGAGCATAACAACGCGGGAACAACTTTCAACTTTTGCGTGTGCACAAACTGCGATTTAAATACCTGTAGTGCAATGCATAAGATGCAATTATTTTGTCGAGGCAAACCTCCAACTACCCCACACGTACAGACTGCTATCTAAATATGTACTTCCCGGTACAATATATACATGTCCTGAATTGCCTATTCTACTTGTGACTGCTGCATGCATACAACATTCAATTTACAGGCATAGAATGCACAGTGCATATGTAGCGTAGAGGCTAGACGACTTGCAACGACTATACAGATACAGCCTGTAATTTCAAATGTAAAACCGCAGCAGTGAAATTTCACAATCAGAATGCAGCCTCCTTTGCTTACGATTCGTCCGAAGTGCGACTTATATCTTGATCCGGTGTCAAGACAGCTCGTTATACTACGTATCGCCACGCTCACATGTAGTCTACACTTTACACATCATTCAACACTGTAGCTAACACTGCAGCGCCGTGTATAGCTTATAGCCAGCAGTGTATACTGTCTCGCCTTTTTCCCCAGCACACTATCGGCTATAGCCCTGCCTATACATAGAGCTATGCACAGTTTACAGTTTGCACAACATATAGCCAACACTGCATATCCTCTACAGCGTTCGCCCTATGAATAGCCTATAACCAGGATTCAATAGCTATTAAGCCTATATAACCTTCCTACAGCTTGCGAGGTTTAGTGCATGGCCTATATTTTGCTCAACCACCCCAATACGCATTCACCACGAATCTAGACAGAGCACAGTCTGCTCATCAGCAACACGAGCTCGCTTCCTTCCCTTGTCAGCTTTTCCACGGATGCCAAGGAGGACGGCTCCTTGCCAGACTCGCAAATCGACAGCGGCACACACACACGCGCGCGTGTGTGTGTTGCTTTACAGGTGGCAGCACCCCGGTTTTCGTCCCGTGTGCTCACGCCACAACACGCACACACTCATCAACAAACAAATAAATGAGCAACCAATCACACACTCAAGCTGTGCACAAACTTGTTTACAAAGTTGACACGAATGTAGATGATAAGATCGATAGATACAGGCCGGGCATACAGCGAGCAGAGATAGAGGCCTCTGTTTGTGGTGCAGGGCGCTTTTAGGCAATTTATTTTTCTAAATTTAAAACCGTTGGCATCAACAGTCTTGAACACAGCACGCACGCACACACCAGTGGGTCCCTGGGCCACACTACACGGACACGCTGCGCTCTTGCGTGCCAAGCAATACTCCACCGGGAATTGGTGGCACACATATTGTCTCGAGCAGGACCCAGCATGGAGACAAGCAAGTCTCGAGACTCGACGAGGCTTTCTTGCGTAAATATGCAGGGACATTGCTAAAAAAAGATAAAAAGATGCCTCTTTCATTTGTTTCACTGGAATCTGGTTTTTTTTGCTGTATCTGTTTGTTTTATTCCCCGTATTGTTGCACGCGTTAGCTTTTGTGCGTTTTCAAATGTGCATTGTCCCATGCGTCCCTTGAAGACTATATATTTATTTCACCTGTCCAATTTACCCCCCCCACCCGCGACTTCCACCACCACCAACTTCTTCGCGGCCCGGCAGCCTTGGTCCCTCCGTCCACGTGAGCCCCCCCCCCCCCCGGGCGCAGTTGCACCGCCTGCACACCCACAAGCTCAGTCACTGCAGGCCGTGCATGAAATGCACGCGAGCACCCGATTTAGCAGCAAGGCTGGGCTATTTGGCGAATGTGTTGTGGCCTAACACCCCAGACAACCGGCAGTATACAGTGACGGACCCCTCTACATTTAGACCGCAGCGTCAGCGGTCCAAGCGGCCGGCATCCACCCACCGCCGCTGTTTGTATCGAGTCTCGTCATCAGCCATCGTCAATCCACTGCTGGATGAAGGCCCTCTCCGTGTCGTCCGCGCGCCCCTCCGATTAGCGCGGTTGGCTACGTGCGACGCGAAGGAAGTCTGAACTGTGCACGCCTCTTCTTTGGTTCTTTCGGTAAAGTCACGTAGAATGAGAATAAAACAATAAAATAACACAATAAAATTCTCACGACGTTTCGGCCACAACGCAAGCGGCCGTCTTCAGGTGAAAGGAACATACCTGTCGGGACGACAGAGCTTCAATGAACGATGTTAACATTCGTAGCTACGAATCTTAACATCGTTCATTGAAGCTACGAATCTTAACATCGTTCATTGAAGCTCTGTCGTCCCGACAGGTATGTTCCTTTCACCCGAAGACGGCCGCTTGCGTTGTGGCCGAAACGTCGTGAGTATTTTATTGTGTTATTTTATTGTTTTATTCTCATTCCACGTGACTTTACCGAAAGAACCAAAGAAGATGAATCCTTGCAGTCACGAAAGCTTTAAATCGAAATGTGCACGCCTCGCTAGGGATCACGGTCCCTTAATGTAGCTCGCTGCACGCGGGCGGATCTCGTCGCTTCTCATCTGTCGGGGATCGGTGGACCTCCTCTCGGCCGCCGTTCACTCCTTTGGGGGCGTCCATAAATGACGTCACGCGATTTTGGACGATTTTTGACCGCCCCCCCCCCCCCTCGTCACACGGCGTCACAAAAAAGTCAGACCCCCCCCTCAAATATGACGTCACAAAGCTTTGCCCCCCCCCCACCCAAACCATATTTGCATTTTGAAAATAAAACATCATGCTTCAAATCGCTTTAAACGATTGTCATTGTCGTGCGTATTTAATGTGGCGCTGCACTCTGATGTTGTATGAGAAAACATTTATCAAAAAGTCTATTTAATTAAGTAGAATGTGTTGTTTATATGTATATTTAAAGTTGTGCAGTTTGACGTGACGTCACGTTTCTCAACCCCCCCCCCCTCGTCACACATCGTCACAAATGTCTGACACCCCCCCCCCAGTGCGTGACGTCATTTATGGACGTCAGCCTCGACCAGGGGGGGGGGCGTCATCCCCCCCCCCCGGTTTCCTTTGGCGACACCTCTTACCGAGGTGGCATCGTTATGTCAAGTGTCAGATTTAACACGTCGGACAATTGTATAATAATGAAGGGGGGGGGGGGGGGGGTTGGGGGGGGGATCGCGTACATATAAAATGTTGTTTAGTGATGTTTAAACTAAACTAAAACTATTTTGTATTTGACCAGGTAAGGCCCACTGAGCTGTACAGCTCTTTTTTTCCACGTGAAATATTTGTAAGTCATGAATAAAACACTTAGGCGATGGTGTGTGCCTGGGCTGTGTATCCCGGGCTATCTGACACGAGGACGAAGCGTCATTAATAGACGAGTGGGGAGGTGGGGGGGAAATAAGAAAGACAAACCATCCGGGTTCGTGGATTCTGAAACGCTGTCAAAATGCGTACCCAGAATCAGAATTTTTATTTCGCCTGGAGGAGGATGAGCTACGAAGCTGTTTTTAGCATCTGCATCGTGGCCATCGAATCGTGAGATGGTGGAGGATTGGGGGGGGGAGGCCCTCATCCAGCAGTGGACTAAACATGGCTGATGAAGACGACGGCGTTATGGTCAGCAGGCGCGTTGACTGACGGCCACCTGTCCTCACCTGTACTCGTGTTTCTCACCTGTAATCGTGTTTCACTGGGTGACGAATTTCCAATTCAAGCACAGGAGAGGCTGCTTCAATCATGGGCCAAACTGCCTGAGGGCAGCAAGTGAATTGTGGAGCAGATTGCTCAGTGAAAGCACATCCACTTAGCACACCTGCACGCCTCCGTAAACTTCACAAGTACCTCTTAATCTGTGTTACTGCGTGTATTTGTGTGAATTTGTGTGTATTTGTGTGTGTATTTGTGTGTGTGTATTTGCGTGTGTATTTGTGTGTGTATTTGTGTGTGTGTATTTGTGTGTGCATTTGTGTGTGTATTTGTGTGTGTGTATTTGTGTGTGTATTTGTGTGTTATTTGTGTGTGTGTATTTGTGTGTGTGTATTTGTGTGTGTGCGCTGGGGGAGCGGTGGCGCAGTGGTGAGCAGATTGCGCTTCGAACTCGGGATACCCGAGTTCGACTCAGCCGCAATTGAATACTAGTGCGATGTGATTTAAAAAAAAAAACATCACCACTAGGGAGACAAAAGCGGCCTGGCGTGGTGCTGGCCACCCACCCCCTCGTGTGACGTTCCGGCCAACATAGGTGTTCTTTGACAGTACTTACCCCAACAGTATGTTGAAGGCCATACAACAAAAACGTCTACATGTTTTATACCAGGCCACCTGAGCTGACTTCCCGACCATGGCTACATCGTTTCTGTACTTTGCTTTGTGTTTGCTTTCGTCGTTGGAGTGACCCAGATCGCTCTTGCAAACGAGACTCGTGGTGACCTCTTCAGTTCTCACCGCCTGGTTCAACAACACACTCCCCGAATTAACATCGAATTCGTCCCGAAGCCTCTCACGAGTCGACTCAGCCTGCGACGAGCAAGCCTGCTGCATGTGAACGTCAGCCGCTGGGGAGATCACAACTCGTGTGATGCCACACACATCACCCGTGCGCTAACAGCCAGTGCCGGATTAAGCTAGTGCGGGGCCTGTAGCATATGTTATAAAGGGGCCCTACATATAAAAACACTTTAATATTAAAACACAAACTTTTAACTCGCATAGTAAAGTAATTGTATTTTTTTCATTTGCTATACAGCCAGATAATACGACAAATCGCTTACCTTAAACACCCAGTCGTTCATAAAAGTTGAAGGCGGTATAGTACTATAGTAATAAAGCAAGTGCAGAATCGCGAACCGGAATTGATAGCTGAAATCATTTAGCGCGGGGCCCTTGAAAGTGCGGGGCTCATAGCTACTACAACACATGTAGTAGCTACTACTACATGTGTAGCTACTGCATGTGTAGTAGCTACTACACATGTAGCTACTACACATGTAGCTACTACTACATGTAGCTACTACACATGTAGCTACTACACATGTAGCTACTACACATGTAGCTACTACACATGTAGCTACTACACATGTAGCTACTACACATGTAGCTACTACACATGTAGCTACTACACATGTAGCTACTACACATGTAGCTACTACACATGTAGCTACTACACATGTAGCTACTACACATGTAGCTACTACACATGTAGCTACTACACATGTAGCTACTACACATGTAGCTACCAGGATAATCCGGCACCGCTAACATCACTTTCCCCGGAGAGGCAATGCACGTCCACACGTGGCGTGAGTGATCTTTGTCTTTGCGAGTGTGTCACCACGAGGTGGAGCTGTAAGGCAAGGCGTCACCGGCACAAAAACAGACTCCCAGAATTGTACAAAAGCTGATCTCCGTCTAACGGGGCGGGGGGGCAAGGACATAAATATTTGCGAGCACCTATTAAGGGCGATGCGTTAAAGAAACCATTTACGTCGATAGGAATACACGGTTTACCTATTTAAAGTGGAGTCGACCTCGTGCAACACAGATTACGCTGCATGCCTTTTCACGAACGGTATGCACGCATGCAGACACGTCTCGACCTAAATAACATAGAGCCCCTTGTCAATCCACTGCTGACCGAAGGCCTCGACCCACGCTGTGTCCGTCATGGAGAGGTGGGTGTCGTTTTTACCATACTTCACCACGCTTGCACGTGTATGGGTTGGTGAGTAATGCTCAGGACCGGTAACAGATTATCGCTCGCCACTGATGTTAGCCGTGGCCTGGAATCGAACTCGGCCTTTGTTTCTGGGTTCACAGCGGCCGGAGCGCTAACCATCGCTTGCCCCCACCAGCACACACATTATGCAATGTTACAAATAGCGAACTGCTACGCATTCTGAATGTACGGGGGTGGGTGGCTGGCTGGCTGGGGGGATACACAGGCACAGAAGTAAAACATAAGAGGAATCGGGGAAAAAAAGACTTTAACGTTTGGGTGTTTTATTATTTTTTCCACCAGTACACGTTTAGCAATTACCGAACAACAGCGCACACAGACACACGCACACAGCCAGGAGCATGGGGATTTGTGTTGTGTTCTCTAAAAATGTGGCTCGCCATTCATGGCGACAAGTTCCTCCTGCGAGCAGGCTGCAGGGTCTGCACCAATGACTCTATCTCGATATATTTTTGTTTTTAAGGCGAAGGGTTTAGGGGTGGGGGGTAAGGTTTTATTTTTCTCTTTTAATTTACAAAAAATTATGTCT